CAAATCCATAAATTATTTACATTTCATCATCCAAATTCTATCAATTCAAATGATCTCAACATTTTAACTTTGTTATATGTATATCTATACTACATACAAAAAATGTTATTGGAACATTTTTTAACGAAGCATTAATATTTTAATCATTTTTTAACGAAGCATTAATATTTTAATCAAAAAAATTTACAGTGTTGGATAACGTAACATTTTATACTGATATTTTGATTATGAGGAAATGAGTTATAAAATATTATTCCCTTTAATGTTTTGATTAAACAAGTTGATAAATACAAAAATAACTAATTTTGCTTAGCAATACATTAGAGTTGAATCGAAGTACATATGTATTTATATTTAATTATAATTGATTGTTTATTTATGTTTAAAATGAGCTTAATAGCCGATCAGATGTGGTCTTGTTAGTCTTCTCACTTATGTGTAGAGTGAGAGGTCTCGAAACCACAAGAATTCCAAATTATTTGGATAGTTAATTAATTAGTTAATTAATTATAAGGGCAAAAAATTAGTTAATTAATTAGTACTAATCTTTTAACATATTCATATTACTCAGGTCCAAGTCCAAATCTGAAAAACTATGATTAATAATAAAAATTAAGATTATTATTTGGATAATTTATTATTATCTTCTGAGATTTACCTATCGGTATTCACACAAATTAGAGACATAACACGTACCAATTATTTAATCTTTCAAGAGTCCATATATTCTAAAATTACACGCAGATGTGTCATATTCTTTCTAGTTCATTTAAAAAATGGCAAATTACTATGTATCTAACAGTTTTGACAAACGTTGTTCCACTGAAACTCCATTGATTTAAAATAACAATTCATTAATCTAATTGAAGTAAAGCAGGTGCTCTCTTCGGGAAGGCAGGGTGGGGTTAGAAGAAGCATTATAGATTGGATCTATCCTCCTGTCAGTAAAAATTTAATGTTGATGAATATTCATCACGCAATCCAAGTGCAGCAGCCGGGGGGATGTTTTAAGGAACAGTATTGGTCATATGATTTGTATTTTCTATCAGTCAGTTGGGTTGATTCTAGAAATGCTTTTTGCTGGGTAATTCAGAAAAAATAAAAGATCGTGTAAGTGGTGGGGAAAGTTCAATAAGTTTGAACAAATTATTCACATATTAATGTAATACAATTTATTTATGTTGAAAGAGTGAAAAAATCATTTTACCAATACATTGGCCAAAAAAGGTATTGGTGCTGAATCTCCGTTTTTGGCATGGTTTTAATTGACATGATGATTGGATTTCTATTGCTTTTTACTTTTATTTTACTCTCTTTTAGTTCTCATCTCTTACTTCAAGAGAGGTTTTCTAATTTTCTTTATGTATAAGTTTTTCTTATCAATTATGAGCATTAGGTTTATTAGGTGTATTGGGGAAAGTCTGCTCAGTTGGGTTTAATTTCAATTGGTTTTGGTAAATTGTTTTCTTATTATCTCTAATTTCTAATAAAACTGATTTAATTGATGCAAAAGAAATTGAAGTAAGAGGACTCAATTAACCATAGTTTCACAACAAAATTGCTTTCATTATTTTTAATTAGACAGTAGAGAAGCAAATATTAAATTGGCTTCTTAGACACTAATTAAGTGGCAGCCCTAATTCTGTGAGACAGCAAATAGTTAATTGGTCTCACAAGCAATTGACGCAAAGGATCTGAGATTGTGACCTATTAACTGCAAATCTTTGAAATTATGTTAGGTATGAAGAAAAAGGCATGCCTAGTTAAGGTCTGCTATCTTATAATTAAATTCCAGGTATACGTATACATGCCAAATATAAAGAAATAATGAATAAATTTTTTTATTTAATTATTATAATTTAAGATTGAAACTAGATGTTACTTTATTCGTTTCAATGATAGAATCGATGATATTTAGAGGTCATTTTACATCTAACGTCAGAATTTCAAAATTTAGAGTTACACTCTTTTAAATACTTATGATGAATTTTTTCAAATTAACCTTTACATCATTTATAAAGATCCAAATCTACATGTAAAGCTATAATAAATTCTTACATAACTTTTAACAAATACTCATTGGATCTTAAAAAGATTGTCACGTTTCTTTTTTTACAAATTTTAAGAAAATATAATTAATTTTTTTACAAATTTTAAGAAAATACAATTAATGCAGTGATAATTATATATTTCTCGTTTCTATCCTTATTTACATAATAAATTAGCTCAAAATCTGTACCTCGTTCTATCCTTTTTAACATAATAAATTAAGCTAAAATTGTGAGATGTAAAAATATTAGAACTTGAAAGTTGAACTCCATCCAACGAGCATCTCTTGAATTTTGATTTAAACTAGTTTTTTAACCAGCATTGCACATTGTTTGTATTTATATTTATAATTGTCATTTATTTTGTAATAATTTTTTTGGTTATAATTACTTACAATATATGATATTTTAAACTGATGAGATAATTTACGTTAATCGTCTAGAAATAATTGGTTTGAAATAAAAAAAATCAAATTTTTTTTTAGCGATTTACACTCCTGAATTTTTACCAATAAAGGAAATTACATCCTGAATTTTACCATAAAAGCAAAGGCTCAATTTTTTTATCAAAAATAATTGATTTAAGTAAAATATAACTAAAAATAATTAAATATTTTTAAAATAAAAATTTTTAATGTTAAGATTTCTAATTGGGTTCAATTAGTTCTAATTGATTTGTAGGGGTGCGCCAAAAAATCCAATTGAATTAAACTGACTCATTTCGATTCGGTTCGATCAGCCTGCTCAAAGAGGATTTGGTTTTATCAGCTTAGTCAGATTGAACTAAAGTTATCGGTGGTCTGGCTCGATTTTGTATAAACTAATTGGCTAGGCTTAAAACCGACTTGAAATAATAAAAACTGATTAAAAATGACCAAACCACTGGTTTGGTTCGGTTCAATTCAAATGACAGTTTCAATTCAGTTTAATTATGGTTAGAAAAGTTTGGTTTGATATTTTTAGCCTTAGTTCGGTTCGATTTGAATTGAACTGACCGTTTGCTCCCTATTGATTTGATATAAAATTTTTGAGATTTTTTTTTGAGTGTATACAATTTTTGAGAATTGAGATTGGTAGATTATTTTCTTTAATACTTTAATGCTTCTCTCTAAAATTGAATTATTCCAATCAATCTTTGAAACAAAAAATGCTTTGTCTTTAAATTTCACTGCACACCACAATACAATACCATCCGCACCGTAGCATCTCATCAATCTCCACCACCTTTTTCTATCTCTCTTTTATACCCCAAGGCTTATTTCGTTATGTGATGGAGTCCTGAAAATGTGAAATAAGGATGTCATAACTCCATCAATTTTGGCTAAGAAAGCTACCAAAAATATTAAGGGAAAAATTATAATTTTTTCAATGTAATTTATCATAAATTATTAAATATATCCACCGGTTCTAACTTGGATCTTATAATTTCTTCAGCATCATTCTATACTTGTTTACTCTCGTGACTTTGCTTTGTTTTTGTAAAATTTGAATTTAAATCAAAGTACTTGATTAGCTTAAAAACAATCACGTGGATCACTATAAATTTTTTACTTTTAAAGAAGCACATCATCACTGAAGATTTTACTAATCTTTTTCGGTATCATAAATATTAAAGGATATAAAATATATATTGTTTTTTTGAAAACAAATGCACCCTATGACGATTGATTTAGAATTTTTCGTTTTGTTTACGAAAATTGGAAAAGATGAATTATATAATTATATTATGAAAATAGAGATCCTTAATCTGCGTCTAAAGGATTATAGTTATTTACTCCATATCGGAGAGGGAAAAAAAAAATATTAAATTGGCTTCTTTTTCTGAAATTGCAGCATCGATTATTAAATTTTTTTATTTAAGGTGAGAGTTGATGACTCACTTGTGGCCCAAGAACCTATTCCACCAACATCATCTGTAGACAAATTATCAAGAAGAAAGCAGATGGATGGAAGTCATGTTTCACAGTCTCAAGAGGAAGCTAACACTGCAATCCATAATAGTGAGCTCAAACAATCAGAGGATATGCAGGCAAAGGGTGTCTTGTATTGTGAACTAAATGCAGACAATGGTTTTTTGGCCAAAACTGATGATGTTGCAGTGGAGGAAAATATGATATTGACAACTGCTGAGGAGCCTTGAGAGTACAGAGTTCATCTCGCACGAATATTTGTTCTGTAGATTTGATGAAACTGATTCAAGGATTTAGAAACTGGTTAATTTTCTTGCTTGTACTAACATTAGGGGAAAACAAGAAGCTAAAGCTTTGTGAAAAAGTTAGATGGATTAGTTCTTTTACTAGAACTGTAATGCTCTATACAATTTTTCAATTTTTAAAAAACCACACCATGTATATTGTTGATATTATTGGCAATGAAAGCGACACTTTTTTTTGAAACAAATTACTCTGTCTCAACATTATTCTTCATTCTTGTAGAATTTCTATCATTTCCATACTCCATAATTTATTCTTTTCTTTTCTGCCTGTTCCCCTGGCTCCTCATGCACCTCACTCACACTTACTGAGGTAAACTAGTATTCTGCTTTATCCCCTCAGTGTTTGCAGAACAATAGTTTCTAATGATATTAATTTTTTTCTTATAATTATTTAATTTCCCAAAATTCTTTGGTTTGAAAATGTATTGCCAAAAAAAAAAAAAAAAAAAAAAAATTCTTTGGTTTTGACAATGTATTGCAAAAAAAAAAAAAAAAAAAAAAAAAAAAAAAAAAAAAAGAATTACATTGCAAAACAGAGGTTTTTTTTAGACTAAAAATCACATAAAATTACATGTGGGATCCACATGCCAAAGTTTTCATCCTCAAAGACCTTAATTATTGCAAAAGAAGACTTTGATGTGGAATCATGACTTAAAAGTCTGCTAACACCTGCCAAAGTTCATCAACCCAGAAAAATTTTGTATCTTTCTTCTTCACAATTCACATAACAGCAAGAAATGGAAGAGATAGTGCTATCTCCACTTCTACAGGTGATCTATGACAGAGTAGCATCTCCGGTGCTACAGAGACTTGCGGATATGTGGGATCTCAAGGACAACCTCAAAAGGCTACAACAATCCTTGTTAATGGTTCAAGCTATTCTTGAAGATGCAGAAGAGCAACAAGTAACCAGAAAAGCTGTTAGGGTTTGGTTGTCAATGGTCAAGAGTGCAGCTTCTGATGCTGAGGATCTACTGAATGAGTTTACTGCTAGAGGTTCTCTTGATGTTGATCATGGAGTGCCTGGTTCCTTATCCACAAGATTAAATTAAAGTAAGGTTAGAGCCGCAATTCGTGATTTTGAAATGATTGCCATGGAGGGACTTAACTTGAATTTGAAAGAAGGGCTTAATCTAAATTTGAGAGAGGATAGTGCTAATGATAGGAAATAGGGTAGAAGAGAAACTAGCTCATTCGTTGTTGAATCAGAAGTTCATGGAAGGGAAAAAGATAAAGAAAAGATCGTTCAATTGTTATTATCTCGTGTAGCCAACCTAGAAGGATACCCAGCTGTTATACCAATAATCGGTATTGGAGGCATAGGCAAGACAACCCTTGCTCAATTGGCATATAATGATGAGATAGCGACACAACATTTTGATGTTAAAACTTGGGTTTTTGTTTCCGAAAATTTTGATGTCAAGAGGATAATGAAAGCAATTATCGAATCTGCTACAAAGGAAAGGTGCAAATTCACAGAGACGGATGTAATTCGTTCTAAGCTATTGGATTTGTTGCATAAGAAAAGATGTCTGATTGTGTTAGATGATGTTTGGACTGAAGATCTGGATGACTGGGAAAAACTAAGGCCTTTGTTTAGAGGGGGTGATGTTGGAAGCAAAATCATAATCACTACTCGAAGTATAAAGGTAGGAATGATACTGGACTCCCCAACTTTTCCTTACTATTTGGAGGTTTTGGATGAGGAAGATTCTTGGACTTTATTCAGGCAACGAGCATTTCGAGTAGGAGAAGAGGAAAATTATCCAAATCTTTTGCCTATTGGAAAGCAAATTGTCAAAAAATGTGGAGGTTTGCCATTAGCTACAAAAACTTTGGGAAGCTTAATGCGGTTCAAAAGAGATGAAAGAGGGTGGCTGTTAGTGGCAAGTAGTGAACTCTGGAGTTCAAATGTAGATCATGGTGGAATTTTACCTTCCTTGATGTTAAGCTATCGCCATATACCATCACATCTCAAACGTTGCTTTGCTTTTTGCTCTATATTTCCTAAGAACTATGAAATCAAGAAGGAGAAGTTAATCCATCTATGGATTGCAGAAGGATTCATTCTGCAGGAAGGGGATGAACCAGCAGAAGATATTGGAAATCAGTACTTCAATGACTTGGTGTGGATTTGTTTCTTTCAGAAGGCAGAGAAATGTGACAATAGATACAAGATGCATGATACAATTCATGATTTGGCACGGTATGTTGCAGGGAAAGAATTTTTGATACTTGAGAAATGTCCTGCATCAAACAATCTGGCCCAAGTGCGTCACTCGTCCATTATATCTAAATTCGGATCATTTTCAGTTCCAGAAGCCTTATATAAAGCAGGACATCTGAGGACACTCATGTTAATTGTGGGAGGAGACTTGCAGGAAGTTCCGAAAAAATTGTTCTTGCATTTCAGATACTTGCTCGTGCTAGATTTGAACAGCAGTGGCCTTAAAAAATTGGAGGAGTCTATAGGTGGCTTGTTTTGTTTGAAGTATCTTGACCTGTCTTACACATTTATCAGAATTTTGCCACAAACTATAAGGTACCTGTATTCTTTGCAATCTCTTAACCTACATGGTTGCTGTTATCTTGAACAATTGCCCAGTTTACCAGAGGCTAATCTAAGACATCTAATCATTACTGAATGTCAAGCTTTAGAATTAATGCCAGATATTCTCCCACAAGGGCTTCGAACATTACCGATATATATTTTGAGGTTTGGCAGACTTCTCGGCCTGAAAGATTTAGATCTTCATGGAGAGCTGAAAATTAAGCGCTTGCAGAAAGTTAAAACAAGAGATGATGCAGAATCAGCTAACATGAGATTAAAGGAAAACCTAAAGTCATTGGGACTATATTGGTGTGAGAATGATGGTCAACTAGACAATAGAATTGATGCAGTGGAAGACATTCTTGAAGCACTACAACCTCACCAAAATCTGGAAGAACTACATATGGAAGGATATCCAGGAATCAAATTTCCAAATTGGTCGCTTCCAAATCTAATTATGGTTAATTTGAGTAATTGTAAAAAATGTGAATGCCTTCCTACACTTGGGAATCTTTCATTTCTCAAGATGGTCTCTTTCTGTGGAATGGATGGTGTGAAAGGCATTGGTTTGGAGTTCTATGGTGAAGGCATGCATACACCATTTCCAGAGCTTGAAGAATTGACCATTAAAGGATTTCCAAATTTGGAAGAGTGGTCAATTGTAAATGATGGACAGACATTCCCTAAATTAAGAAAATTGATTGTCAATAACTGCCCCAGATTAGCTAAGATGCCATCGTTTCGATCTCTTCAACATTTGGAGCTGCGAGACTGCAGCCAAACAATATTTTCCAATGAAAATCTACCTTCCTTGTCAATCCTTGCTATAGAAAAAATTCCAGAACTTTGCTCTCTTCCTAGAAGTTTTCTTGTTGAGAATACCCTTTTGACATCTCTGGAGATTATATCTTGTTGAAAATCTACCTTCCTTGTCAATCCTTGCTATAGAAAAAATTCCAGAACTTTTCTCTCTTCCTAGAAGTTTTCTTGTTGAGAATACCCTTTTGACATCTCTGGAGATTATATCTTGTCCCAAACTTCATTCACTACCATCTGAGTTGGGAAGTCTAATTTCTTTAAAAACACTGACCATTCGCTGGTGTGAAGAGCTGACATCTTTGCCACAAAGTTTGCAGAACCTGAAAGCTTTAGAGTACTTGGAGATCTGTGAATGTCATAATATAATTTCTTTGCCAGACAATGGACTTGGAGGTTTAACTTCACTTCGTATTTTATCCATCGAAAACTGCAGCAAGTTGATTTCTCTTTCCTCAAGCTTGGAGCATTTAACATCTCTTGAACAGTTAACCATTATGTATTGTCCAAGTCTTAGTTCTTTACCAGAAGGTCTGCAGCACCTCTCTGCTCTACGAAGTTTGACTATGTTAAGTTGTCCTTTGTTTTCAACTCTACCGGAGGAGCTTCAATATGTCACCACATTACTTGACTATGTTAAGTTGTCCTTTGTTTTCAACTCTACCGGAGGAGCTTCAATATGTCACCACATTACTTAGCTTGGAAATTCATAGCTGTCCGGGTTTGACAGCTTTACCGGAGTGGTTTAGGAACCTCACTTCACTCAGATCTTTGACAATTTCAGACTGTCATAATTTGAAGTGTTTGCCAGAAAGTTTTAGCTTCAGCGCTCTCCAGTATCTTTGTATCCAAGATTGTCCTCGTCTCGAAGAACGAAGCAATTAAGGAATTGGAGAGGATTGGCCTAAAATAGCACACGTTCCACATAAACACATTGGATCACCTAGGTTCAGGACGAGAGAATCCATTGCAGAAAGCAGCTCTTCTGCTTGAACTATATGTATAGCTCTTTCCAGCCCTCAGTTTTGCAGGTAAGCTAGTTTCACTTTGTGATTTGGTTCTGCATTACCTGATCTTTTGTTGGAGATATAAACAACTCTTAAACTCTCTCCTGGAAGCTTGACAATAGTATCAGATACTCTCCAACATTTCTTAATATACTTGATAACTATGAAACTCATTTCTTGCAGGCTGAAGAGGAAACTAGTCAGGCAGTGCGCGATAACGGAGCTTCAACAATCAGAAGATATGCAGGCTAATGGTTTTTTGTGCTGTGAACTAAGTACAGAGAATGGTTTTTTTGGCTAAAATTGGTTGTCAATACTGCAGTTATCTGAAGTATAAGATACATATCTTTTAGCTTTGACAACAAAACTTTCACATCACAGCTTTATCCATTACTTGTTTATCTTCTGTATCTTAATACAATTGTGTACAAGTTTGTGATGGAATCCATATTTTGTATCTAATTGTAATTTACAAGATCTGGCTATTTTTCAGAGACTAAAAGTATATTTTTACTTAGAATCTAATCAGGATTAGGAGATCTCACTCCTAATCTTGTGCGGAGACTATTATATAGGGTCTTATCGTCAAGAATTTTCTAAGTTATCCATTTTAAATTAAAACTTTTTATTATGGCGGTGCCCACTCAAGCGGGACCCACACAATTGAAAAGAAAAAAAAAAAAAAAAAAAAAAAAAAGAAAAAGTCAAAAAGTTGGCAGCCAACTATTCAAAGGTTGGCAACCAACCATGACATAAATGGAGAGTCGGGAGTAACTCACACACAGCTCTCACATTACCTCTCTCATAAATAGGAGAGGATTTGCTTCGTTTGAGACACACCAACAGGGAGTAAAATCTCATATTTAGAGAGTTTCAGTTTTAAGAAGAGTTCTTAAAACTAAGGGTTTAGAAAAATAGTGAAGATTATTGGGGTATTTTTGGGAAACACGTGTGAGTGCCACTATTTTTGTATTACTCTCTTTGTAAGCCTACTATTTTTAATAGTGGAAGAATTATTCGGAGTTGGTCCCGTGGACGTAGCCCTTAAGCCCTACATGTTGAGGGGTGAACCACGTAATTTCTGTGTGTTCATTTTTTAATTTTTTTCGCTGCTTAATTATTCCTCAGTATTTTTATTGCGGTATCCTAACACAAGTGGTATCAGAGCCGAAGGTTTTTGATAGGTCCAGCCGGTCAGATAGTGGTACCGGATCTGTGGATATATTTTGAAAATAAATATACCACGACGAAGTGAAAATTAAGACGAGTCCATTGGTGCTGTCCGCTCGGAAAGACGTTGCAGAATCGACTTAGTGATAAATAATAAAATAGTAACTCGCAGTTGATGGTGAATAGTTACTATTATGCTGAGCCCGTCACTGTTAAGCCTAGCACTATTCACGTATAGTACTATTCACGCATACAGGTACTATTCACGTATAGTACTATTATATGTATAGTTACTATTCTCGTATACTAGTACTATTTACATATGCGGTTACTATTCACTCAAAAGTCATGGAAGCTAGGACGAGCAAAATGATCAGTCTAAATGGCGCAAATTACAATATATGGAGAAATAAAATGAGAGATCTCCTAAAATGAGAGATCTCCTTATGGTAACCAAAATGCATCTGTCCGTGTTTGGTTCGAGTAAACCGGAAGACAAGACTGATGAAGAATGGGCTTTCGAGCATGAGCAAGTTTGCGGTTATATTCGACAATTTGTCAATGATAATGTGTAGAACCACATTTGTAACGAAACTCATGCCAGAACATTATGGGACAAGCTTGAATAGCTATATGCCTCAAAATCCGGCAACAACCAATTGTTTTATTTGATGAAGCTGATGAATTTCAAATACCAAGAATGTACTTCTGTATTTGAAATTTTTAATTTTTTTATTTAATTATTATACATGCCAAATATAAAGAAATAATGAATAAATTTTTTTATTTAATTATTATAATTTAAGATTGAAACTTTATTCGTTTCAATGATAGAATCAATGATATTTAGAGGTCATTTTACATGTAACGTCAGAATTTCAAAATTTAGAGTTACCACTCTTTTACATACTTATGATGAATTTTTTCAAATTGACCCTTGCATCATTTATAAAGATCCAAATCTACATGTAAAGCTATAATAAATTCTTACATAACTTTTAACAAATACTCATTCGATCTCAATAAGATTGTCACGTTTCTTTTTTTACAAATTTTAAGAAAATTCAATTAATTTTTTTTACAAATTTTAAGAAAATACAATTAATTCAGTGATAATTATATATTTCTCTTTTCTATCCTTATTTACATAATAAATTAGCTCAAAATCTGTAAATGTAAAAAAATAATTAGAATAAGCTTATTAACTATTATTTTATGGTGAAATAAAGGAATCATTTTCAATAACTTAGAAAGTTGAACTCCATCCCAACGAGCATTCTTGAATTTTGATTTAAACTAGTTTTTTAACCAGCATTGCACATTGTTTGTATTTATATTTATAATTGTCATTTATTTTGTATTAATTTTTTGGTTATAATATACTTACAATATACTGATGTTTTAAACTGATGAGATAATTTAAGTTACGTCTAGAAATAATGGTTTGAAATAAAAAAAAAATCAATTTTTTTTCCGTCTAGAATAATGGTTTGAAACTAAAAAAAAAATCAATTTTTTTTTTACGATTTTACATCCTGAATTTTTACCATAAAAGCAAAAGCTCAATTTTTTTATCAAAAATAATTGATTTAAGTAAAATATAACTAAAAATAATTAAATATTTTTAAAATAATTTTTTTTTAATGTTAAGATTTCTAATTGGGTTCAATTAGTTCTAATTGATTTGTAGGGGTGCGCCAAAAAAATCCAACTGAATCAAACTGACTCATTTCAATTTGGTTCGATCAGTCTGCTCAAAGAGGATTCGGCTTTATCAGCTTAGTCAGATTGAACTAAAGTTATCGGTGGTCTGGCTCGATTTTGTATAAACTAATCAGCTAGGCTGAAAACCGATTCGAAAAGATAAAAATTGATTAAAAATGACCAAACCACTGGTTTGGTTTGGTTCAATTCAAATGACAGTTTCAGTTCGTGATATGTGCATAAATTGTCACTTTTATTCTTAATATTTTTGGTATTTTTGAGTTGTTGTCAAGCTTAAATCAGTTGGTTGAACAATTTTTATCAATAATAGTTGGTTTGAACAATTTTTATCAATTAGACATTGATCTAAGTTATTTTTTTGAATAATACCATTTAAATTGAGGAATTTTTCAGCATTGTTAATACATTTTTGGACAATATTGTTATGCCTTCTTCAGGCATAACTGAGTGTAATAGCATGTTCAAATTGATTGATTTGTGATTCGTTGGAAAGATAGAAAGGAGCTCTACAAATTTCTAATAGGAGGCAAGATTCAATTCAGCCTTGAAATTCATCAGAAAGAGCTCTGAATCTAGAACAAATGTCATGAGTGAACATGCATGAATGAGTTTTATTGTTTAAGACGTATCTGGAGCTCCAAGAGTCAAAATTAGCTCAGCCCAGGCCCATTTGAATCTTAGAAGATGGAACTACAGTTGCTGTGAAGACAACTAAATGAAGTGAGGTCGTTTTGATTGTCAAAAACGCCATAAAAGATCACGTTTTGAGCAGAAATATCTGCTTCAGAAATTTCTGCTTCAAAGGTTCAACCTGATCATGGTTTTTTTTATGGTTGTATTTCTGCTGGTGAGTGTCCGTTTTGGGCGAGCCTTATTTTCGTTAGAGGTGAGAAGGAGAATCTGCAAGTTTGTTGAAAGCAAGTTCTAGAATCAGATTCGAAAAGGAAGTTGTCCTGCAAATGGGAGAGAATCCAGAATAATAAGATTTTGTTGACTAGGTTTTTTAAAAGTTTCCAAGTAATAGAGATTCTTTTGGGTCTTTTGAGAGGCTTATATATGTTGCAAATTCTGGAGCAGCAGATAACGACACGTTTTTCTTTTTTCTTTTCCCCATAGTTCAGCATCTATTTGAGAGTTTGTTTTAGTTTTCCTTTTGTTTTAGTGATTGAAAGGCATAATATGAGTGATAAATTTCTTAGTTCAGTTCAGGAATTCAATTTCCATATGTTGTTGTGAGATCTTGTTCTTTTTTAAATAATTGTTCTTTTTGGAAAAAAATAAAAATTTTCGTTTCTTATAATTAAGGTGTTAATTCTATTGGGTGATTTGCTAAAAAGGCCTATTAGTTAATTATTTGGTAGGATTAAGTGCTATTTCATCTTCATAATCCGTAATTGTCGTGAAAGATTGAGTGTTAGTAGCAATTAGGTTTTACTGATTATGTTCCAAGTTTTCGGTAATAATCTAAAGAAACAATAGGGTTGAATTAAATAATTTATGCTTTTTAAATTATTGTTCAAATTTAACTGCTTCCTGTTCTTACTGCTTTTATTAGATTGAAAATGATTGCTTAATACCTGCTCATTTAATAATTATAATTAGAGTTAATAAGGGTGCTGGGCTCAAATTAACTGTAATAGGGAAGTCAGAGAATTTATCATGCTTGTTGGTAAGTTTCAGTTAAGTATTCAAATATTCAAAGAGTAGTTCATTCAAAATTTTGTCTGTGATCATTTTATAAATTGGACTATAAATTGCTTGAATTGAATGTTTATTAGATTGAGTTTCAATTTAAGTTTTAACAGTCAGTTTTATTTTGATTTCTCTAAGTGAATTTCAAAAGCCAACCCCTTTTTCTTTACAAAATATCACACAAAATTAAGATTTCAGTCTCTAGGGTTCGACCTGAATTTACCACTTATGCAATTAAAATTCAATAATTAATTTTCGGTGGAATCGACAACCATCAGTTCGGATTAATTATGGTTAGAAAAGTTTGGTTTGATATTTGTAGCCTTGGTTCGGTTCGATTTGAATTGAACTGACCGTTTGCTCCCTATTGATTTGATATAAAATTTTTGAGATTTTTTTTTTGAGTGTATACAATTTTTGAGAATTGAGATTGGTAGATTATTTTCTTTAATATTTTAATGTTTCTCTCTAAAATTGAATTATTCCAATCAATCTTTGAAAAAAAATTGCTTTGTCTTTAAATTTCACTGCACACCACAATACAATACCATCCGCACCGTAGCACATCCGCACCGTAGCATCTCATCAATCTCTACCACCTTTTTCTATCTCTCTTTTATTTATGTGCAAAGGCGACTATACCCCAAGGTTTATAGCGTTATGTGATGGAGTCCTCAAAATGTGAAATAAGGATGTCATAACTCCATCAATTTTGGCTAACAAAGCTACTAAAAATATTAAGGGAAAAATTATAATTTTTTCTCTGTAATTTGTCATAAATTATTAAATATATCCACCGGTTCTAACTTGGATTTTATAATTTCTTCAGCATCATTCTATACTTGTTTATTCTCGTGACTTTGCTTTGTTTTTGTAAAATTTGAATTAAATCAAAGTACTAAATTAGCTCAAAAACAGTCAGTCACGCGGATCACCATGAATTTTTTACTTTTAAGGAAGCACATCATCGCCGGAGATTTTACTGATCTTTTTCAGTATCATAAATATCGAAGGATATATATATTGAAAACAAATGCACCCTAAAAGAAAATGACGATTGATTTAGAATTTTTCGTTTTGTTTATGAAAATTGGAAAAGATGAACTATATAATTATATTATGAAAATAGAGATCCTTAATCTGCGTCTAAAGGATTATAGTTATTTACTCCATTTCCGAGAGGAAAAAACAAAATTATATTGGCTTCTTTTTCTGAAATTACAGCATCGTAAGATGTGTTTTTATATAATAGTAACTCGAAGGGAAAAAAAAAAAAAAAAAAAAAAGCAGAGAAATTGGCAGGACAACAATTGACAGAAAGGACCAGCGGGAATGCAAATTTTCATATGACCACATGGAATTTTTCGGAGAGATTGCTGTAATCTTGTATTTTTGGTAGAGTTAATCTTGTATTTTCACATGTCTCGAAAATGTAAATAAACAATGCTAGGAAAATAAATTAATTTATTCGTCAGAGAATTTTTTTTATTGAATTTGTCAGAGAATTTTTGGGCTCTTTTTATGGTACTTCTTTACTTCTTTTATAAATTCCTCATGCATTTATCAGTAAATTTACTGAACTAGTTTTTATTGAACTAGTTTTTATCAACATTTTGTTGATTAGTGTTTGTTAGAAATTTATTAATGACACCCTAATATTGTATTCTGGCTGGAATTCACCCTAAATTTTGTTGGGATTAATGCTCTGATACCATACCACTTGTTGGATATCAGCTCAATGATAAACTCCAAGATTAATTAATAATTTATAACACCAAAAATAATAATGGGAAAGACAACCAAAATAATACTAACACAAAACACCAAATATACAAACATTCACAAAACTTAAGGAAATGATTACTTACTTGGTTTAAGGAAATGATTACTTACTTGGTTTTTGCTTGGTGCTTGCTTGGTTTTTACAATTGAGAGGAGGGTTGGTATTTATAGGCATTTCCACCTCGTCAATGTACGGCTAATATTTGTTTACAAAAATGGACAGTCTAGATTATAAGGAACATTCTAGAGTTAGGTAAGATATTTTCATTACATCTCATGTGTGGAGAATTGTGGAGTATTCTAGAATGTGGGCTTGAATGTGGGCTTGGAGCTCCAACTTTGGACTTCCGGCTTCCCAAGTCTTGGTCCATTATGGCAGCCCAATATTAGGTTGTGACTTTTCTAAATTAATCGGTGGATATTTAATAACTCTCCCTCAAGCGATTAATTTTCTCTTTCTTCAATCATTCCCAACTGTTGGTCGAAATCTTCATATTTATTTTGCGTTTAACTCTTTGTAAAGATATCGGCTAATTGAATCCTCCGTCTTGATATTTTTATTTAATCTCTCTTGTAGAACCTTCTTCTGATAAGTGATAGTGAACCTCCACGTGTTTTGTTCTCGTATGAAATACCGGATTCTCAGCCATTTGTATAGCCGAATGACTATCACAATTCAATGGAATCGGATAATTGATGGGTTGATGCAGATCGTTCATAAGCTATGACAACCAAACACTTTCCTGAGCTGTTGTTGCTACTGCCCGATACTCAGCTTCTGTAGTGGAAAGTGACACTGTAGGTTGTCTCTTGCTGAACCAAGAGATTGCTCCTGAACCAAGATTAAATGCATAGCCTGTTGTCGAGCTCCGAGTGTCGTGATCTCCTGCATAATCAGCATCGCAATATCCTTCCAACTTGATAATTTTACCTCTCTTATAAAAGATCCCATAATCAATTGTACTTTTACTTTTATGACATTCTAATATTCCTTTCGACTTGCTTCCCAAGTGAGGTTTCTTAGCTTCTGTATACATAACTGCCTACCTCCAACTGAAAGGAAATGTCCAGTATATCATAGTGAGTTAGATTAGGCTTCCACGCTAGTTGTCTATAACATTTAGTACGCATCTTCGAGATCATTCCCTTCATGAGCACACAGCTTGACATTAGCATCCATTGGAGTAGATATCGGCTTGCATTCCATCATTTTTCCTAACCTTTCAGTAGATCTCTTGCATACTTCTTTGTCCGAGGACAAACCTTCTTGGCTTCTTCTATCTCTAATCCAGAAAATGCTTTGGTTTCCTAGCTTCTTTCATTTTGAAACGAGTAGCCAAATTCTCTTGGATGAGTTGAATCTCTTCGATGTTGTCGCCAGTGACTATTAAATCATCAACGTATATTAGCACTAAAGCTAGTCTTCCTTCCCGATCTTTTACAAATAAATTGGAGTCTGCTAGTGCCATAACATATCCATTCTTGACAAGGAATTCTGCAATCTTGCCATACCAGGCCCTCGGTGCTTGTTTTAGGCTATAGAGAGCTTTCCTTAGCTTGCACACATAGTTAGGATTTTCACGACTTCTGAACCCTGGTGGTTGCTCCGTGTAGATTTCACGATCAACTTCACCATGTAAGAATGCGTTCTTTACATCCATCTGCCACAAAGGCCATGACTTACTAGCTGCTAAAGCTACCACGCACAGTAGCTGAATCTTGGGCAACTAGGGACTAAAATGTCTCCATCCAGTAGTCTAAGCCATATTGCTGCGAGAAAATCCACGAGCCAACTAGTTCTTGCTTTGGTATCGCTCCATTGATCCATCTGGCGCGAGTTGTGATTTTGTAGGACCCATTGCAAGAGGATGGGTTTCACATCTCTTGGTTTTTGGCACTAATTACCGCATGTCTTGATTTCCTCCAAATAGCAACAATTTCTTCTTCCATCTCAGTAATCCATTCCATCTTCTTTTTATGCTTCTTCATAAGTTGTTGGGCTTCCTTATATTCTGCTGCTATCAGCAGCATTTGCATATTTGGGATTAGGCCTTCTTTCTCGACTTGAGTCGCCAAAGTAAGAGGATAAAGCTGATCCTGTTCTTCTTAACTTGGCTTCTGTTGTTTCGTGATGCACCTATCTTTCCATGGGCCTCCTTTCGATTTCTCTTGAATCTGGATGGCCCTCCTTGACCGTTCTCTGGGATGGAACGCTCCCTCTCCTATCTTCTGTGTTCAACTTTTTCTTGGAATTTCTTTTGAGTCTGGTAGCAGAGTTGCTTCAGATGACCACCAAGATGAATTGCCTCATCAAGGACCAAACGTTTTCGTGAAATATGGCACTAGTTTAGTTGTAGGGGATTCACAACATCTCCAGCCTTTTCTTTGCTTTATCATAACCAAACGAATATGCAGCCGAAAGTGCCTTTTGTCAAAATTTGCTATCGAAGTTTCATCCGGTGAAGCGAAGGACATAACACACGCATCCCAAGAAATGCGAAATGACTTACAGTTGTTCTAATGTGTTCCACAATTTCTGGAATGGGGATGTAACTCCAATCTTGCTTGAGGTAGTCTGCTGGTGACGTACACAACTGTCTTCATGCACTCTGCCCAAAATCTAGCTGGCACATTCTTCTCATGGAGCAAACTCCTGTAGATCTCCACTAGGTGTCGATTCTTTCTCTCAGCAACTCCATTCTACTGCGGTGTTCTTGGACATGTGAATTGCCTTCGAATGCCTTGCTCTTGGCAATATTTAGTGAATTCGTCAGACATGTACTCTCCACCATTGTCGGTGTGAAGACATCTAATTTTATTTCTGACTTCTTTCTCAACTTTGTTCTTGAAAGCTTTAAATTTTTCAAAAACTTCCGACTTCTCTACCATGAATCTACCCAAACATATCTCGAGTAGTCATCGATGAAAGTAATCACACTATCTCGAGTAGTATCGGATGGAAAGTTAATTCAGTGTACCTCATATTACTGTTTTGTAGGTTGCCTTGGATCCGTTCCAAGAAACATCTGAATGTTATTAACTCCAATGGCAACCTTGGCTTCTATGTTTTGACTCTTCAAAGGGAAGCTGCTGTGAGCCTTCCATATTGGGCATCCCAGCAACAATATTAGTGTCTTCTCAGGCATTTCCAACGAGGAAGGCACCTGCTTAAGCAGTGGGGACTTCTTACATCATCACCTTAAGCTACGTTTGTGATAACTACATATTGTCCCAGACGAGCGTTGCCACCAAGTCAGCTGTCTCACTCTTCCTTGTTCTGTCAAAACAAATTTATGGCTTCTTGTGCTTGACATGACGTAGAATTGCATCTCTTACTTGCCGTCCTTCATGGACTGGATCTCTGATTAATATTAAGGTTACGATAAACCTTCACAATTATCAGGGACTGAAAACACCAATAATTACCATGCACTTGCTATTTGTTGTACAGAAGAGCAATTGTTTCTTCATCTTTGGCCACATGTTAAACCATATGTAACTCATTTTCTCCTACTGAGGGAGAAACACATGGTTTTCTTTCCAATATGAGCTATTGGTAATCTCGTAGTTATTTGCTGTGACTTACAAACACGACCTCCATCATAATCGGATACAGTCCGATAATTTCTCGCTTGTTTTCCAAGTCATGTTGGATTAAAACTTCCAGAATCAACTATCTAATCATCATCATAGTTGATTCTATTCACTTACAGATATAACTCAGATATTAATGACGACTCCTGCTCGGGTCCTTTCATCATCATCTCTACTGGCTTCTGTGGCGAATTTTCTTCCTCCTGAATAAAGAAATTTTGAATATCCCATTCCTCTTCACTTTGTTGCTCGTTTTGGGTTGATGCTGTGTTTCCTTCTACTTGTCTGCTTCGACATTCTTGGGCGAAATGTCCTCTTTTGTTGCACTTATAGCAATGATCACTTTCTCGCCAGTCGTCTTTCCTTTGTCCTGCCCTTGCTCTCCCTTATTGTGATGGTCTCCACTTTTACTTTCTCCATCCTTGTTGATTGCTCCTTTGTTTTCCACCATCTACTCTCGCAACGTTTCGAAATCCCCTCTTTTTAGCAAAGAGAGCTTTCTCATCATCCTTCAAAGCTACTTTAGACATTTTGCTTTGACATTTTTTTTTGTCTAAAAGTCTCTTTATTTGGACAAGATATTCTCTAACTCTTCTTAAGGTTGGCTGTGTACCCCAAACCACAGAGTCAGCAGTCACAAGACCCATTAAGCAGTCACAAGACCCTTAAATTCAGGTCTTAGACCGTGGATGATGATCCTCCTCATCCTTGTCTCGTTGATCTCGTTATCTGGATCTAATTTTGAAATCTCCTCACATAGAGATTTTACTTTAGAAAAGTATTGACTTATAGTGAGGTTATGTTGCGAGATTGAGAACAACTCGTTTTCGAGTCGTTGCAATTTTGCTTCGTTCTTCTTGGTGAAAGTAGACTTGAGAATGTCCCATGCTTCCTTTGGTGTTTTAGCCGACTTGATCCGTTGCATCTGCTCATCTTCTACTGCAACTGTCAGCACATAAATTGCGTTCCCGCATTTTGTCTCCCACTCTTTCAGAGCTTTCGAAGAGCTTTCGCATCCCCAACTGGTGGTGTAGTATTTTCTCCCTCCAACATATCCCATAAGTCTTGACCTATGAGATAATATCTCATACGGGTACTCCAGTTCCCGTAATTGTTGCTTATTTTAGGCTTCTCGATGTATTAGCAATCTCCAGAAAAAATCGCCATAGGTGCGGTGTTCCCCTAACACTAACTAATGCACAACGGTCCTTGGGACCAATCAAGATCACAATCCTTGCTTGTTGAATCTTTGTGCTTCAACAACAGTCTCCGACTGTTAATTTCAGCAGAGTAATGATACTCTACACTTGTAAATGAACACCACAAAATATCACGGCTACAACAACTACCAACACAACCAGGCTCTGATACCACTTGTTAGTTTTAATGCTCATATACCACTTGTTGGGATTAATGCTCTGATACCATACCACTTGTTGGATATCAGCGCAGTGGTAAACTCCAAGATTGATTAATAATTTATAACACCAAAAATAATAACGGGAAAGGCAACCAAAATAATACTAACACAAAGCACTAAATATAATTGTATTAATAAGAAGCAAACATTCACAAAGCTTAAGGAAATGATTACTTACTTGATTTTTGCTTGGTGCTTGCTTGGTTGGTTACAATGAGAGGAGAGGTGGTATTTATAGGCATTTCCACCTCCTCGATGTACGGCTAAGATTTGTTTACAAAAATGGACAATCTAAATTACAAGGAACATTCTAGAGTAAGATATTTTCATTACATCTTATGTGTGGAGAATTGTGGAGCATTCTAGAATGTAGGCTTGGACCTCCAACTTTGGGCTTAAGGCTTCCCAAGTCTTGGCTTATTATAACAGCCCATTTTGGTGGTGACTAAATTAATCAGCTCAATTTAGGTTGTGACTTTTCTAAATTAATCGGTGATATTTTAATAAATTTTATACCAGAATCACGTTTTGATACCCTATTTTTGTATTCTGGCTGGCATTGTGAAATTTTGTGTTATGATTGTTTCTTTATTATGATTTGCAAATTTTAAGATCCAGGTTTTGAAGTTTGTTGCTAAATAGGTGTCTTAATGTGCTTTATATTGCCCTTCTTTTCAGGCTGCTAGTTATCTTTTGCGTTATCAACCTGATAAATTATATTGATCGAGGAGCTATAGCAAGTAATGGTGTTAATGGGAGTCGCAGAAGTTGCTCGAAAAGTGGTACATGCACATCTGGCAGCGGAATACAGTAAGACTTACCTGGAAGCTTTCGTTTTGACCTCTAAAACATTTTAGGCAAGTGCCCACTACTTTTTCCTACAATCTTGATGGTGGTAGGTTTAATGACCCCTCATAGTGGACTTAAACCACTTTGTCCAAAAGATATGCCTTGCTTATAATTTAGTTCTTAGGTAGAGGACTTTTGTTGGACTTAAATTACTTGATTGGAATTGAGGGGTTTACAATCTTGATTTCATAAGGAGATCGTTTATTGACCTCATAATATTACTAAATTGGCCGTTTTGGTCTGTGTTTTTTGGTCTTTTGGGATTTGTAACAAGAATTGGATCTTTTCTTTTCTTTTAGGGTGTTCATGCTTTGAATGAGTAATGCACATATGGGTTTAAGAACTTAAGAGTTATTTTATTTTATTTTATTTTGGTTTTTTTTTTTTTTTTTTTTTTTTTTTTTTTTTATTTTTTGGGGGGGTTCATTTGGTAATTTAAGGGGGGGGGGGGGGTTCATTTGGTAATTTAAATATTTGGCCTAATGTTGAAAAATATAAATATAGAAGTTGCTAATGTGGGAGCCCATGCTCTAGTTAGGGCTTCTTACTCTTATGCTCATCTCCCAAATTTGAGATTATATCCCGGAATGTTTGTTAGCTTTCTATGATTCAAGTTAATGCAAAGTGATTTTTATGTTTAGAAAAATAAAAAATAAAAAGTGATGGAATTTAGGCCATATGATGAAGTTTATCAATTCTTTACATTTTGGCTTTTATTTTTTTCTCAATCAAATGAAGTAATTTGGCAAATACATAACTTATTTATATTTCAAATCCAAACAATATCAAAATTCTAAATTTATTATGACAATATTTAACAACAGCTTTTTAAGTAGCTTATAGCATTTTGACCGTCAAAATGCTAAATGCTACTTTTTATAGTATTCGGTAACATAGCTTTTAAACTAGTTTTTAGAGGTTAAGATAATGTTTTATAGAACGTTAGCACCTATGAGGTTTTAATTTTAGTTTTTTCACTCAAACAGCTAAACGCTACTAAAAAGTAAAAAAATATTAGCACACTTCAAACAACAAATTTTTTTTATTTAAGTGATTAAGTATGATACAATATTTCATGTTACTTAAATTTTTGTAATTTATAAAACACTCAAGATATCATGATTTGAAATCATAATTCCATTCAATTAGTTATAATACATAATTTTTTAACAAGCCTAATAGAAGAAATAGAGCTCAAACCATTACACAATTATTGAGTGCATCATATGCATGCAAATGGAAAAATACATATATATTAAAATTTAGAAAGCGGGTTTTAACTTTTCATTTTGACAGGGCAAATGGCTCAAGATAGAGTGAGATCACTTTGTCTTTGAGACTTGATGGGTTAGTATATGCATCGTCAAACTTAAAAACAAGCTCTGAAACGCGACCAAAGTTGAGCAGACATTCGAGGATAGGCCTTGAAACAGAAGTTGGTCCCATGCATTCTTCGTTAATATCTTTCCATGCATTTCCACATATTTTCAAGATTTCTTCAGCTGCTTTTTCTTCTGTAACACCATATTCTTTTGTGTAACACTCTACACTTGAAGCACAGTCTCCCCTCTTTTGCTCATCCTTCAAATGATAAATACACAAGCAATTAGGGATTTATGTAAATATACAAACCTATTTGGATCAGGGGCAAAGCTAACGATATACATTAAAGGTAAAACCTTAAGTAAAAATATAGATCAGGCAAGTGACTGAAGTTATAAGAAAAAAAAAAAAAAGCAGAAGTCTTGGGCTGGAACCCTCTTCTCTTTTTAATGGCTTGATACTGCATATGCATTTAACAAAATGTATAGTAGTATGAGAACATAACTCATGGGATACTATATCGTTCAACAGACGACCAATTATCTTGACAGCATTAGCAATTTTTGGGTTAGCTTTTAGCCATTCATATTCCTTGAGGCCAGCAAATTTTCCCATCCCAACGAAACATACTGCTGCAACTACTCCATAGCTGCTTGAGGTTGCACCATTGTGCAAATACTCCCCAAATGTTGGCACATATCCATCATTAGACCATTTGGCCTCCATCCAGTAGGCTCTCAATAATTCTTTAAACTAATTAAAATAGTTAAAAAATACAAAGATCAGGCTATCTATCAGCAAAGATATAACATATTAGTTTTAAAATTTCAATAATTAATTAAGATATAACATATTAGTTTTAAAATTTCAATAATTAATTAATTAAAACAAAGCCTAAAAAAATCTTACTGCCTCCTTCGTATAATAGGCACAATAGGACCTTCCTTCTTTGCACACAATATTACTTGTTTCCTCAAAAAGATCCAAAAAGGTCTTGTAGAGATCTTTCATGTTGCACCTGAATATTAAAGAAATAAAAATAAAATAAAATCCACCAGTAGGAAACTCAAGTGTAATTATTTCTTGCAATTACATCGGACATAGCAAACCTCTCAAATGCATCGGTAAAGCATTGATTTCTTCCATTGTAGCATATGCATCATATGTGTCATCTGATAATGATACCATTGTCAGATATTTGGTTACCATTAACCTTAAAAGAGCAGAATGGGTTTGCATTTCCATTATTTTTTTTCTTTTTTCTCGCTTTGAAGAGGAAGATAAAGGTACTACAAGTGTATCTAATTCATCCATAGTTAGAAATCAATCTGGGTAATTTATAGAAACCATAGCCACCACCGTTGACTTTCACAAATTGATTATATTAATTTGTATTTATGAGGTTTGGTACGAGAATCATGAGTTTAATAGTTGAATTAAAGATAATGGATTTAATAAGTGACAACTGAGATTGAGGGACTAGTTTACTATTATTAATGTTGATTAGAGGGATTCTGAAAATAAATTCAGAGCCGATCAGCCTATAAATTAATTTATGATTAATTCAATTGGATGGTCATATAAAAACAAACTATGATTTGATTTTGTGAACAAGAACGATTCAAATTTTATGAACCGTTAAATGGATACAAATTTGAATAATTCCTGGAAATTAAGATTTTCCAATAATTTTTTACTAAGTTCAAATTTAGTTTCATAAGATGATAAGAAGCAATATATTATGTTTATTAACTTCCCTTTTATCTCTTCCTCTTGTACATAAAAAATGATAGCCCTAATTACTCCTTCATGATATATGTGGGGAATGGACACCCTAAATTCTGTTAGCTTTACGTTCTTTTCTTCATTTTATCTTGAAAAAAAAGACGTAATCCAAAATTAGAATCAAAATTATATACTCAAATCATTTTTCTGACAAAAAAGTAAAATTATATGCATCATAATCATACATTAAATATATCAGTCACAAATATTCAAATATACACTTAAAGTTATAAGGCTGAATACATAATTTAATCCCTAGAGTTTAATAAAAGAACTTTATGGCACTTTGAACTTTAAACTCGATTTTATATTACCATCGTTTTATTTTTTATTTTATTTTTTAATAATCTCATTATATATTATCATGCTTGTAATAACAATTTTTAAGTTTTAGTCTTTTATATGCAAAATATTGATGTAATAATCTCACCTCTAAATAAAGTGAGATCTCGTATCATCCAAAATGATGGAATAAGTGAGACCTTTTATCATTCAAAATGATGGAATTTAGGCCATACGATGAAATTTATCAATTCTATACATTTTGGCTTTTATTTTTCTCTCTATCAAACGAAGGAATTTGGCAAATACGTAAATTATTTATATTTCAAATCCAAATTCCATTAATCCAAACAATATCAAAATTCTAAATTATTATGGCTATATTGGGAAACAACTTTTTAAGTAATTTTTAGCATCTTGACCCGTCAAAATGCTAAACTCTACTTTTTATAGTATTCGGTAGCATAGTCTTTAAACTAATTTTTAGAAATTAAGATAATATTTTATAGAATGTTAGCCCCTGTGAGGTTTTAATTTTAGCGTTTTCACTCAAAGAGCTAGCTACTCAAACGGCCAAACGCTACTAAAAAAAAAAAAATACGAGCACACTTCAAACAATAATTTTTTTTATTTAAGTGATTAACTATGATACAATATTTATGTTAATTAATTTTTTGTAATTCATAAAACACTCAAGATATTAGGATTTGAAATCATAATCCCATTCAATTATTTATAATACATAATTTTAACAAGCCTAATAGAAGAAATAGACCATTACACAATTATATGAGTGCATCCAATATGCATGCAAAAGGAAAAATACATATCTATTTTAAAATTTTAAGAAGTGGGTTTTAACATCTCATTTTGACAAGGCAAGTGGCTCAAGAAAGGAGTGAAATAACTTTGTCTTTAGGCTTGATGGGTAGTAATTATCCATCAGTACCCCTGTAATAAACTCTGAACTGCGGGCTATTGTTGATGAGACATTCAAGGATGGCCTTGGATGGACATTTTTGGTCTCATCCATTCTTCATTAAATGTCTGTCCATGCATTTCCACAAACTTTTCATATCTCTTCAACTGCCATTCTTCTGTAACACCATATTCCTTTTTGTAACACTGTACACTTGAAGCACAATTTCCCCTCTTTTGCTCATCCTTCAAATAATAAATACACAGCAATTAGAAATTATATAAGAAATCAATCCTGATTTGCGATTCACGAGCGAAGCTAACGATTACATTAAAGCTTAAGACTTTAGAGTTAAGAATATAGAGAGGGCCAAGTGATTGAAGTTATTTAGAAAAAAAAAAAAAAAAAAAAAAGAAGAGAAGCAGAGTCGTGTGGGAACCTTCTTCTCTTTTTAATGGCTTTGCCGTTGCATTGGGATGGATACTGCATATGCATTTAACAAAATTTATAGTAGTATGAGAACATACCTCATGGGATACTATATCGTTCAACAAACGACCAATTATCTTGACAGCATTAGCAATTTTTGGGTTAGCTTTTAGCCACTCATATTCCTTGATGCCTGCAAATTTTCCCATCCCAACAAAACATACTGCTGGAACTACTCCATAGCTGCTTGAGGTTGCACCATTGTGCAAATACTCCCCAAATGTTGGCACATATCCATCATTAGACCATTTCGCCTCCATCCGGTAGGCTCTCAATAATTCTTTAAACTAATTAAAATAGTTAAAAAAAAATACAAAGATCATGCTATCTATCAGCAAAGATACATATAACATAATAGTTTTAAAATTTCAATAATTAATTAATTAAAACAAAGCCTAAACAAATCTTACTGCCTCCTTCGTATAATAGGCACAATAGGACCTTCCTTCTTTGCACACAATATTACTTGTTTCCTCAAAAAGATCCAACAAAAAGATCCAATGTTTCCTCAAAAAGATCCAAAATGTTCTTGTAGAGATCTTTCATGTAATCTGGGAGTTGATCAATTGCACTAATGTTGCACCTGAATGTTAAAAGAAATAAAAATAAAATAAAATCCACCAATAGGAATCCCAAGTGTAATTATTTCTTACAATTACATCGCAAATAGCAAACCTCTCAAATGCATCGGAAAAGGCAATTATTTCTTCCATTGTAGCATATGTATCATATGTGTCATCTGATAATGATGCCATCATCAGATATTTCGTTACCATTAACCTTAAAAGAGCAAAATGAGGCTCGGACTGCATTGAACATGCCCAGAAATAGAGCTCTACGATTCTATCTCTTGCATAGGGAAGCTTCTCTACAAGATTGGAATCTTTCCACCACCTGGAAATATTGCAAACAAGCCAACTATATTTAGAGGCGAATACAGAATTCAAATATAAGGGCAAACTTTTGAACCCATAAGTCAACGAAGGACAAAGTGGCTAAAGCAACAATGAAATTCCTGCACTGCATGTAGGTACGCAATTGATCGTGTTAGTACTATTAGTATCCTCGCATTCTATTCTTTAAGAATATGCGGATGGATAGTTTTAAGTTCGTATAGTCAAATTAATTGCTTTACAAATAAACTTTACCTCACTAGTTCACCAAGCTCTTGTCTGTGTAGTAATTGTACTCGATTGAAATCTAATTTTGCAAACTCAAGTAGGGTTTGATTTGGAGACTCGTCTTCTTCGTAAACAGAGATGTATTGCCTGACCTCAACTCTTGGTACTCCTTTGTGAAAGGACAAGATGAGAGCATTTCTTATATGTTGTGCAAGATGATGAGGAATTGATTGCATAGCTAGTGATGACTTTGCATAGCTTAGTGATGACTCCAGATTTGGCTTTATTGGCTTTGTAAAAGCAAGAGCTTCATCTAGAATATCTTCTCCGTGCACACTTACAGAACTTGCTTCATATAAGCTGAGAATGCCCTTCACATCATCAGTGATAGCTTTCTTGAATTTTCCACCTTTGTCCTTGAATTTGTTAAACACGTCTAGTTCATAATTAAATAAATAATATGTTAATCCTGTTTTGAAATAGACTAAATTTATTTGAGCAGAGTAATTAATATCAAAGCTTATAGATGAAGTGGCCATGGTTCCCAACTACGAGTTCCGTTCCGAACAATGCGGAATTAGAACCGAACTGAAAATTGACGGTTTCTGATCCGGTTTAGAATCGCCGATTATGGTTCGGGTTTTAGTAGTTAACCGTTCCAAAACCGAGGTTTTTAGATGGTTTTCTAACCCGTTCCCATAATTTTAAAATCAAAAACCTTAGGAAACATTTTTAGTTCAAATTTAAATTTTAAATATTTATCAAATAATTTTTAGAAGTACGTTTAAGAATAAATAAATAAAAAAAGATTGAACTTAAATTTTTTCATAAAAAGGGGCAGGAATTGCTATTATAGAATAATAATATGTAACTTGCAAAAATTGAATATAAAAAAAATTAGAGAGAATAATTAGAGATTGGAAATATTATTTGAAAAGAATTTGGACAATTTCAAGGAGAATAATTAATTTCAAGGAGAATAATTAGAGATTGGAGAAATTATTTGACAATAATTTGGATAATATTATTGGAGAGCTTAGAGAGATTGGAGAGTAGAGAAAAATAATTTGGTGTGAGGATGAATGAAAATAATGGGGTAGTTGCACAAATACCCTTAAAACTAGCTGTTCATAGTTGTTATGAGAATTAATGGTAGAGCCGCCGGATCTAGCCGTTGTAAATCAAAATTCAAATTTTTTTGAAACCGCCGACGATTTGAACTATTGGAACCGCCGGTTCTAACTAGTTATCAGAACCTTTAATATTGCTTGATTCTCGAATCCGCTAGTTCACAGTTCTAAAAGATATAAAATGAGAATCGGACCGCAACCTCTGGTTGTAGTTTCAATTCTGTCCAATTTCAGTATCAGTTACAACCGGTTCTGAACCGACTGTTCTGGTTCCAAAAACTGAATTTTGGCCACCCCTACTTATACACATGATAATTAAAATTTTAGCATAATTAGACACTTACCGCAAGATATCTTATATCCATGTTGCCTTAAAACTCGAAAGAGAAGTGCTATACTATAGAGATCACAATCATTATCTTTAAGAAATTTGGAAACCACGTAAAAAATATGATTTAATTGTTCTTCGATCTCCATCTCAAAATGATACGATACACCAAGGCGACGTAATGTATCGATAAGTTCAATGTTTTGGATTAGATTCTTCGTTGAAGCCATTAACATGTCTCTTACCTTTTCCTTAAGCGACTCTACCTTTTTAGTGTATGATTCATATTCCTGTGCAAGTAAAGATATTCAATTTAAGATGTTGAATTTAACATATTGAGCACAACATAAGCAAATAATTATATGCGACTCCTTCCCATTTAAGATGTAGTGATTGTACAACTATTCTGGCAAGAATATAAATATCTTAAAGAATGGAATATAACATATTGCCAACGACATTTAAAGCAAGAAGGTTAACAATTTTCTTTATGCATCATTAAGCTACGAAATAAAAAACAACTTCTTTTTCCTTTTTCTTTCTTTTCTTTTACCTTTTTGGGAGTCACCAAACAAAACAAACAGGAATAACCATCGGTCTTATAAAATCGTCGCCTAAAAGTTAAAATAAAAATTAATTAAAGTCAACTAGTAATTTTAAAAAAGCAATAATTTATAGGAAACGAAAACCCAAAAGCTAAAATTACTAATAATCTCATTTCAAAAGGGCCTAAAAAGAGCATGGTTACCCGAAATTCGAAAGGCATATAGGGAGGCAAAGCTATTATATCCCCACAAGGTAGGAGGGGAAATTAGGCACACAACGACACACATTTGCTTCAGCTTTTGGCTGTAAATGGGGTGCATTTTTTTTTTTTTCCAAATGGGTTTGCATTTTTTTTTTTTTTTTCCTTTTGCAGAGGAAGATAAATGTACTACAAGTGTTTCTGATTCATCTATGGTTAGAAATCAATCTAGCTAATTTATAGAAACCAAAGCCCACCACTATTGACAAAATGATCACATTAACTTGTACTCATTAGATTTAGTATCGGAATTCATTATGAGTTTAATGCTTTGTTTGGATGGATCTAAAATAGAGACTGAAAATGCCTGAAATTTTCAAATTACCTTATTTTGTTTGGATAAAAATATTAAGAATTGTGTAAAATAAATTTATTTTATATCATACGAATGTGTGAGAATAACAAATAATGGTTGAAAAGTTACTATTCATAATTGATAAAGAAAATTAAATTATTTTACACCCTTATTTTACATCGATCCAAACAAAGAGTGTAAAATAATTAAAGAGATAAAATGAATAGTATCATTTTGCATCCTTATTTTATTTCATCATTTATTTTACTTCTTCCCTCTTTCCAAATACAGCATAAGGTTGAATCGGAAATTATAATTGAATTAAAAATAATGGATTGGATCAGTAAAAGAATATTTAAGTATAATATTAAATATGATACTCATAGCCAATCATTTAATGGTTTCGTTGGTCTTCAATAGCATGAGGAGTGTGAGGTCTCGAGTTCAAGTCCTCTCGACCATAAGAGTTCGTGTTATTTTAGCTATTAAGCCTCCTAATAAATAAATAAAAATATTATACTCCAAATTGATTAGGTAATAAGATGAGCTTAAGAGAAATAAAGCTGTTTAATTAATTATTTTGATAAGTTTATATATATATATATATATATATTTTTTAATTCTCGCGAATATCTTAAGTTACTCATCTAGGTATCAAAAACTTTCAAAGAATTGGATTTGTTGAATAAATTAGGCAGAGGTAATACAAGTGTCTCTGATTCATCCACGTTTAGAAATCAATCTAGCTAATGTACGTATAGAAACCATTGCCCACCACCATTGACTTAGAAATCTTTTACTCTATCCAATGAACATTCTTGAACTTTGGTTTAGATATATACTAAAAACAACATATCACTATTGTTAATCTTGCAACTTCTCCATAATCAAGATTAAAGAAAGACTCTACAAATATTTAAGATATATTATTAACCTAATATTACAAGCTATAATTATAAACCACAAAAATACTTATCTAGACCGAGTTAATGATTCCACGTATAAACCAGTTATTTAAACCTAATATATACAAGCTATTAATATAAACCACAAAAAATACTTATCAGACCGCAGTTAATTGATTCCACGTATAAACCACCATTTACGTGCATCTATCTCCCAGAGTCATAACACCAATTACCAACTCACACATACACACACATATATATAACATTACTTGTTGTTAATTTACGTGCATCTATAAGCATAACACAATACCAACTCACAATCACCAACTTAACATTACTTGTTTGTTAAAAATAATAATAATAATAAAAATAACATTACTTGATTTTATCTTTTTCTCTTCAGCCCAAGTCCGTATCATCTCACCTTTCTTCAATACTAAAATTCAGTATTGCATTCACATTATACACTATTTGCTCCAATTATTGCTATATTAATGCTAACAAGCTCTATTTAATTAAAAAACGATTATTAAATTACTCCCTCCATCCATAATTTCGTCAACAAATATTAATTAATTGCTATAATTCAAAAATTCGATTAATTTATTATGAATAAAAGTAATATAATCAATTTACTCAATAATTTATTATAAATTATACAAATTAAATAGTTTTCTTAAGAAACTACAAAAATGTAAATATAACAATTCACATAATGATTAGCAAATCTTGTCTCACTATTAATTTTTATCTTAAAATGTTAAATAAAATTTTTAATAAAAGTATAAAATATTATTAGTAACAATTCACATGATATCGGATGCTAACAAGAAATTCTTTTCATAAACACCATATATAAATTATAATGTTAGATGAGTATATCTTAAATATGTGGAAATAGATTTTATGGAAAAAGGATTAGTTAAATGATTTAAATTCTATTATTCGTAAAAAAAATGATGGAGTTATGAGAATCCCATCTCTGAGGTGGGATTTCTGTCTCTTCCAAAATGATGGAATTTAAACTATATGATGGAATTTATCAATTCTACAGATTTTGGCCTATTTTTTCTCAATTAAATAAAGGAATTTGGCAAATCCATAAATTATTTACATTTCATCATCCAAATTCTATGAATTCAAATGATCTCAAAATTTTAACTATATATATATATATACTACATACAAAAGTTATGACGAATCAAAAAATCTTAATATATATATATAATATTTTTGAATAACTAATTTACAAAAAAATAATTATGATTTTTAAGGTTTTGAATTCTAAAGATCATTTTAGTTTTTTAAAAATTTGGTGTATAATTAATTAATAACTATATATATGTGTATGTGTGTACACGAAAAAATTTTAATATCTATTAATTCATCTAACCTTTTCTATTTAATTTATTTATTCTACATAATCTAGGAAATTTTTATAAAATTGCATTTCAATAATAATAGACACTAAAATTACATAACATATATCCATTTTTATTTATCGTATGTTATTCCTCTTTTGATTGCATGAAAATAAAAGAAACATTAAAATTCAATTCATTAATAGTTGCTTGCTTCTAATCAAATATTTTTTTTATGAGCTCTGAAATATTATTTGAAGTCTAATCATACAATTAATAATTTTCTTATATTATAGTTTAAAATTATTTTATTAAATATATTCAACTTTTAATGTTGTCTTATCATATGAAATTTAAATTAAAAATAATACTATTCATTTATAATATGAATGTTATTTAAATAGACAGATTTTAATTTAAAATATTACACATAATATCATACTAGCATTATAAATACTTGGAAAACATAAGAGAAAAATTATAATCATATTTAATGCTATATAAAAATAAATTAATAATTATAAATAACAAGCAAATAAATCGTGAAACACACATCACAAAAATATATATGATATAATATTTTGTCTTGCTTAAATTTTTATAATACATAAAATATTCTAGACATCAGGATTTGAAACCTAGAATCCAATTCAATTATTTATAATATTCTTGACATCAAGAGTAATATTTAACTACACTCAATGTTATTATAATACATAATTTTAACAAGCCTAATAGATGAAATAGAGCTCAAACCATTACACAAATATTATTGAGTGCACCGTATGCATGCAAATGGAAAAATACATATATATTAAAATTAAAAAAGTGTGTTTCAACTTCTCATTTTGAGAGCGCAACTGGCTTAAGAAAGAGTGAGGTAACTTTGTCTTTAGAGCTGATGGGTTAGTATATTCATCATCAAACGTATAAGCAACCTCTATTATGTGAGCCATGTTAACCACACATTCAAGGATAGGCTTTGGAATAGAAGTTGGTCTCATGCATTCTTCATTCATATCTTTCCATGCATTTCCACAAATTTTCAATATCTCTTCAACTGCCTTTTCTTCTGTAACACCATATTCTTTTTTGTAACACTCTACACTTGAAGCACAGTCTTGTTGGATTTAATTTTCTATTGTGGGCTTAATATGTAAAATTAAATATGTTCAGCAGTCCAATTGTAAAGTCAATTTCAAATGTGGTCTTGATTGTGAATAATTGACTATTGAGGTATCAACTAATTATAGATATTAAGTGTAGAGACCATAATATTGTAACACCCTCAATACACTATGAAGCACAAGTCTTGTTAAATTCGTAAAATAGTATCCCCAATTCCCTATATAAAACTCTGTAAGGGCCAATATGCACCAAGGCTTCCGATACCACTTATATTATGAATAATTAAATTGAAATATTAAGGATGTGCAATTTACAGCTCCCAGGCCATATAACCAATTTGAGAGTAGAATCAGTCAATTCCAAAATGCCTGAGCGTAGATCTTGTATTTCTAAGTGCAAAATAATAGATGATATGAAGACTATTGAGTAGTGTAGTCCAGGTAACCTAAAATAATTAGATATCGAAGTTGTGCATAATGGAGACCCAGTATAGTGCAGTAAAATTTCTAGTTATTCGCTTCACAAAGGACCCCTGCCACCACAATGAAAGAAGAAATGAAAACTAAGTACTTTTAAGCCCGGGAAAGCCCACGTACCCACCGTAAAAGCGAACTCTTGGATATAAAACTAAGTTCGTCCCCGGTTCTCCCATGAGGAGTCTTGAATCATCGGAACCCATCACTCCGAGTTTTACCGGGATTCCCCTTTACCGATCACCTGCTTCCTTGCTATAAATATTTTCACCGATTGGTAGTTCGTTCAATTCTCTGGAGGCTGACCAAACACACAATATATTCTGCACCATCAGTTCGCTCAAAAATACTCACTAACCTAAAACAATGAAACAACGTCTGCAATGTCAGGTACGCAAACCTTTTTCTATATTTCAATCTATTTTGTATGAATCTAAGTGGTGTTGCACGATCTAGCGTTGATCTAGGTTATTGTGGAATTATTTGAAATCAATTCATAACAAGTGGTATCAGAGCCTTGTGCATAATTGCTAGATTTTAGATTGATTTTCGTATTTTTTTTTTATTTACCCTACTGTTTACGGATTGAGGGTTTTGTTTAAAAAAAAAAAAAATTTATTCTCACTGTTCTTCGGATTCTCCAAGAACAGGTAAGAGGTTCAATATACGTATTTTTTTTTTGCTGGCCGGATCTTGTTTAATAATAATAAAAAAAAACAGTATAGGTTTCATGGTTGCCGTCGGTTTAACGCCTGAAAACCTCCATTGTTGCCGGTGGATTCGTTTTGAAATTGCAGTTTAGGGATTTGTGATTTCAACACCGTTTTTTGACTCCCTTGGCTGCCGTTCACCGTCCAATGGCGACCAGAGCTTGTCTTCGGTTGGAACTGGTGGTGTTGGCGGCGGAAAGAGGAAGGAACTGAAGGTGGAGAGAGTCGGCAGAAAAAAAAAAAAAAAACCTGAATAACGGTTAGGTCCCTGAAAAATTTTAGATTAGGTCCTTAATTTTTTATTTTTTCAGATTAGGTCCCTAATTTTTCTGTAACTTCAGATTAGGCCCCTAATTTCTGTAACTTCAGATTAGGCCCCCTAATTTTCTGTTTTTTTTTTCGTATAGACCCATAAACATATATTTAATTAAATTAGACCTTCGAACTTTATTTATTCAAATTTATTTAGTCCAATTTTATAACTTAGTCTCTAATTTAGTGACTTAAAGACTAGATTATATATATATATATTTTTTTTTGGGCTAAATAATTTTAGCCAATTTTATAACTTAGTCTCTAATTTAGTGACTTATATATATATATATATTTGGGCTAAATAATTTTAGATTATTAAATATTTAGACATTCAATTCATTTAATTGCAATTGTTTTGTTTTAATTACAATAATCAATTCCTTTAATTGCAATTGTTTTGCTTTAATTACAATTAAATGAATTAATTTGTCGACTTGAGATTAAATTTTGGAGTGATTAAGTCCCTATTGTGTTTAATATTTGTTAAAATAAATTGATTTGATCAATAAGTCACCTCAATAAAGTCACCAAAGTTTATCCTCTATTAGCTTGAATTGAATTTTTATTTAGAATATTAGACATTAGGAATGTATTAGAATCGTTGCGCGGATAGTTAATCGGCCCAAAATTGAAAGGTTGCCATATCTGGCTGAGTTTTGAAATACGATGTTTGGCAATAAGTTATGTGATTAACAATAAGTATGTGATAATTGTTTGATTATTTTCCATGACAATGATATATCGGTCCAAAGGAAGATTTATTATTTGTCAGGACTATGTTATCAATATTTGATTGCTGCGTTGAGATACTAATTACAAGTGAATATTTTACATCCAAAGATGAGAATATTAATGTTGAGTCTGTATCTTATTTCCATTTTTATCTCTACTTATGTGAATTGTTTCATTTGTGAATTGTGAGCTTATACTTATCTATTTGTTTATTTTCTCTGATGTCAGCTAACATGTCATTTAATCCTGATTGTGTCCCTAAACTTAAGGGATCAAATTTTGAGTCTTGGAAATCAGACATTATGATCTTTCTGGGCTGTATGGATTTGGATCTTGCATTCAGGATGGACGAACCTGCTCCTCTTTGCTCCTCTTACTGCTACGAGCACTGATGTTCAAAGGGTTCAGTATGAGAAGCGGGAGCGTTCTAATCGCTTAGGTCTGATGATCATGCAGAAAGGAGTACCAGAACATGTTCGAGACTCTGTCTCAGCTGAAAAGAACAATGCTCAAAACTATCTTGCCGAGCTGGAGAGGGCTTATGTCAAGAATGACAAAGCCGAACGAAGTGGGAACACTTTTAGGAAAATTAACCTTTATGAAGTTTGCTGGCAATGGTGGTGTTCGGGAGCATATTCTTAGCATGTCTCAGATTGCAAAGAGACTGAAGTCGCTGGGGATGGCTTTACCAGATGACCTTTTAGTCCATTTGGTTATGAATTCTCTTCCTTCTCAGTATGGACAAATTAGGACTTCCTACCAGATGACCTTTTAGTCCATTTGGTTATGAATTCTCTTCCTTCTCAGTATGGACAAATTAGGACTTCCTATAATTGTCAGCCGAATAAATGGACTCTTAACGAGCTCATTTCTCATTGTGTTGATGAGGAGGAAAAGATGAATTCTAACAAAAGAGAGAGTGCTCATTTTGTTTCTTCAGCTGAGAAGGGCAAGAACAAGAAAAGAAAGAGGCCTTCTGCAAAGACTGTTGAAAAGGCTATTGAGAAACCTGCTGTTGCTACTGCTGTAGATCCAGTACAAAAGAAGCCTTATGTGCCAAAATGCTTCTTTTGTGGAAAGACGGATCACTTGAGAAAGGACTGTCCTAAATTTGCTAATTGGCTTGCAAAGAGGGGTAAGTACCTTGTGAGGGGCAAGTACCTTGTTTTAGTCTGTTATGAAGTTAATTTAACTTCAGCTCCTAAAAACACTTATTGGATGGATTCTGGTGCTACCGCTCATATAAGTGTTTCATTGCAGGGCTGCCTTAACTACAGAAAGCCAACTGACGGTGAAAGACCACAGAAAGCCAACTGACGGTGAAAAATACGTCTATGTGGGAAATGGCAATCCGGTTGAAGTAGAGGCAATTGGACATTTTAGATTATGTTTAAGTACTGGTTATTTTTTGGATCTCATAGATACTTTTGTTATTCCCTCTTTTAGAAGGAATTTGATTTCTGTTTCCTTTTTGGACAAATCTGGTTTTCATTGTTCTTTTGGAGACAGTGTATTTTACTTTTATCTATGAAATTCAAAAGTTTTGGGGTACTGTTGGCTTGTGGTTGCTTGAATGAATGTGATAATCTATATATGTTAGACATTGATACTAGTTATCATGAATCCCTGCATGTTACTACAAGAGGTACCAAAAGAAAATTGAATATTGATAACTCAGTTGTACTTTGGCATAGACGTTTGGGTCATGTATCCAAATCAAGGATTGAGCGTCTTGTTTCTGATGGTATCTTAGATACACTTGATTACACAGGTTTGGATTCTTGTATTGAGTGTATTAAAGGAAAACAGACTAAACAGAAGAGACTAGGTGCCATTCGGTCATCCAATGTTTTAGAACTGATTCATACAGATATTTGCGGTCCATTCCATATTGCAGCTAGAAATGGCCAAAGATAATCATTCATTGATGACTATTCTCGTTATGGTTACCTATATCTCATTCATGAAAAATCTGAGTCTTTGGACGTGTTTAAATCTTATAAAGCCGAAGTTGAAAATCAACTAGGAAAGAAGATTAAATCTGACTTATATCTCATTCATGAAAAATCTGAGTCTTTGGACGTGTTTAAATCTTATAAAGCTGAAGTTGAAAATCAACTGGGAGAGAAGATTAAATCTGTTCGATCTGACCGTGGTGGTGAATATTATGGTAAATATGACGGTTCAGGCGAACAACGTCCAGGACCTTTTCGCTTTTCCTACAGGAATGTGGAATTGTCCCTCAATATACAATGCCTGGTACTCCCAGCATGAATGGTGTATCTGAGAGACGTAATAGGACTCTTATGTAGTGACTTCTTATGGATATGGTAAGGGAGTATGATTTAGTCATTCTACTTTACCCAGAGTCTCTGTGGGGTGAAGCATTAAAGACAAGCAGCTTCATACTTCTCAATAGGAGGATTCCATAAAGCAGTTGCTAAAAACGCCGTGATGAACTATGGACTGGGAGCTTAAGCCTAGTCTAAGCAATCTTCATGTTTGGGACTGTCCAGCTAAGCAAGGCCTTACAAGCCGGAGATGGAAAACAAACCAACTGGACTCCAAAAAACTATCAGCAGCTACTTTTGTTGGATATCTTTTATGAGAGGTCTTAGGGCGTTAACAAGTTTTATAATTTATAATCCTACTTCCAGAACTTTTTTTTGAAACGAGAATTGCAACATTTTTTGAGGATGTTGATTTTGGAGGGAGAAATAAAGAAAGAAACATTGTCTTTAAAGAGGAACCAAGTAAGGATGATTCGGTTCTCATTCCTTTTGTTGTTTCTGATAGCGTACAGACTCCAGTTGCTCCTGTCACTATTCAAGATCCAATTCCAGACAATGCTATTCTTCCTTAAGAACAAATTCAACAACCTCAAGAATTAGAGTCTGTTCAAATGCCTTTGAGGAGATCTACTAGGGAGAGAAGAAGTGTAGGGAAAGAAGAAGTGCTATTCCAGATGATTATATAGTGTTTCTTCAGGAACATGAGGATACTGTAGAACATGATAGATGATGATCCAGTTAGTTTCTATCATGCCATGCAGAGTTCTAACTCTCATAAGTGGATTGAGGCAATGAACGAAGAGTATAAGTCTATCAAGACAATCAAGTTTGGGATCTTGTTCAATTACCTGAAGGAAAGAAACCCATTGGTTGCAAATGGATATTTAAAACCAAAAGGGATTCTCATGCAAATGGATATTTAAAACCAAAAGGGATTCTCAAGGTAATGTGGAAAGATATAAATGAAATAATATTTTATAACATCATTTAAAAATAGTAAAATTATATAATAAAATGATAAATTGTATCTTATTGAGATATACTGAAAAGTTGCGATGGTAAGATATGTCTCTTTAAGTATCATGTAAAACTTTTCATAAGTTATGCAATAGTAAAACTCATGCATGGTATGACCTACATAAAAAAATGCATAGACACTATTAATATATTTTTCAATAGTGAAAATATTTTTAAGACTTTAACTAATTATATTGAAATAAGAAATTAAGTTTTATTTTATGTTTATGATTTATTATAAATGATTATTTATTTATTTGATAAATTATTATATTACTTATTCATAGTACTCTGTCATAATCATATGGATGTCCTACTTTTTAAAAATTATCGTATCTGTATGTTCCCGTATTTCATGTGCGGTGTCCGTGCAACTTAGCTCCTGGTATATGAGATTATTCCTTACACCAAGCTAATCAACCAAAGTTTTTCTTTCATACCAATAAAAATAAAGTGTTTTTTTATTATTTGCTTTTGTGTCATTGAAATAAGAAATTAAGTATTTTTTATTTTAATATTTATGATTTATTATAAATAATTGTTTATTTATTTGAAATATTAATGTAAAGTGCTCTAAGAGATTTAGTATGAACAGAAATTGCTAGGACCATTGGATACCTATTGTGCAAGAAGGATGAATATTTAGTAATCAGCAAATGTCAAACCAAGAGTTGAACTTGAAATTCAGAAATGTCAAAAAGGTGCCTCCAGTATGCGTTCAAGCTGTAGGCATAGTCTTATGTATCTGTTCAACGGTCTTGTACTTCGTCAGAACAACTCTTCTTTTTATAGTTGGCAGTGTTAGGGCTAGATATACTTCAGCAATCCGGAGTCAATCTGAAAGCACGCCAAAAGAAAGTACATGAGATATCTTCGAGCTCAAGGGAGCACATGCTTATAGGAGATCAGATCAGCTTGAGATCATTGGGTATACTGATTCTGATTTCGTTGGATGCCAAGACAGTAGAAAATCCACATCTGGCTACGTTTTCTATTGGCTGGCGGTGCTATTTCTTGGAAGAGTGTGAAACAAACTCTAGTAGCAACCTCTACCATGGAAGCTGAATTTGTAGCATCTTATAAGGCATCCAATCAAGCTATTTGGCTGAGAAACCTTGTCAATGGGCTGCGTGTAGTAGGTGGAATAGAAAGACCACTGAAGTTGTATTGTGACAGCAGGTCAGCCGTTTTATTCTCCAACAACAACAGGAGCTCTTCTCAGACTCCTGTGATAGATCTTACTTTTCTCTCCAACAGCTGACAATAACTGGTTAATAGTGCAAATTCACATTACTACAGATCTAAAATAGAAAGCATCATAGATGTATTTCAAGAGTTCTCTGCGCTTGTGAAAGGAGACGGGTACCACGATGTGGAGCAGATATCCTTAAAAAAGGCATATTGGGTAACATCATAGACTAAAAACTCCTAATGATTGCGGCTGCCACGTTACACAAGGCAGTGATGAAACCCCGTAGAAGTTTTTCTGTCTTATATATTTTTTATTCATGAATATACTTTTTTTAATATATTACTTTAATTATTTTTTTTTTGGAAAAAATCAAAAAAAAAAAAAAAAATAAAAGTTGTCGTGGATTAACAAGAGCAGCAATACTTAATTATGGTTGCACTTTTTTTTGGTGTTTGATTTTGTGTGTTGTTTTTTTTCCAATAACATTGTTTTTTGTTCTTTTGTTCTTGATAAAGTTGTGTCTGCACTTGCATCTTTTTAGCTTTTTTTTTGTTTTTCTGGATGGCATGTCTTATTTGGGTTTTTCCTTTTCTATTTTTTAGTGATAACTGATATGCTTGTGCCTTATATATTTTTCATTGATTTTCAGCTATTTTCCTTTTTTCTTTTGTTTTATTTCGGCTTTTGTTGTTGTTTCACATTTACATTCAGTATAAAACGATAGATGTCCACTACATAAACTTTTTCTGTCCAAGCTATATACTAACATCGACTAGTTTAATTCTTCTTTTCTATTCAACAATTACTAATGCCATTAACATTTATCTTCTTTTTGTTCGTGTTTTTTATCTTTTTAGTGCTCCGATATTTCTATTTATTTGCGCGAAGTTAGGATCGAAGAGAAATCTGCTTTCTCGACAGTAAGTGCTTGTACAATAATGTGCTGCAATAGCGGATTATTATTATATATTTTCGGTATACGTCCCAAGACACATTTCGTCTCTGTATAAAATATTTTTAATTACCGAGTCTAGGATTGCATGGATTTGTTAGCTCTGCCTCTTCAATTGTTAACCCTTTTTACGACCGATAGAATGCCAGGGGTAGAATATTAATTGCAACTTTTTTGGCAGAGGCACGCGCCATATTCTAGTCAACAAAGATTAATTTTAAACTCATTGTGGTAGTTTTTGGCTCAATGGATGGGTAATCTTGACATTAATCTTGCGTCACGAACCAACTGAATGCGAATTTACAGCAATCGTATTCTTCCATATCCAAGAGTCCGCAGGGTTTTCTATCTTTTTAGTTTTACTCATACTACATTAGCTTTTTGTTTTCTTAGGTTAGATTTGGCCTCCTCGTGTTTTTTTTTATCATTGGTCTTTTTGGCTTTGGGCCCTTTTTGCTTGGCGTTCATAGCTCTCGCGCGTTTTTCCTGTCTTTCTCTTATTTGTGACCTCTATTTGTGCAAATGACGGGTCCTCTAGTTTTGATTCCCATCTTGCACACTAGTTCATGTCCTTATAACCAAATACTAGATTTCAGTATATAATCTTATCTTATTCTTCAATGATAGAAGAGGCGTATCTTCATGTTGTCTAGAAAAGTACGTTTTCACGACATTGTTTGCCTACGACAGAGCTAAAGTATGACCATGAGCACAGGCTTCTGTTGAGTGTAGGATTTATTCAAAAGATACATTTATTATCGGTTTCACTGCAATCTTCACTGCGCGACTCACCGCTCGATTGCACTGTACCCGTCGACACCTGTGTTTGGTCCGCAGGATCTTCGGAATCATTTTGTCCACCAGCGGTGAACACAAACTTTCAAATTACATTGTATCATCGCTTTTGGCCGATACTTCCAGAATTTTTATCTTTCTGATTCGATTCATCTGTTTTTCTTATTTCCGCTCTTCTTCCTTGTTCCTCTTTCAGACTCCTTATTAGACTCGCAGCATGGTACGTCACCCCAGACCGATATATCGTAAGACGCGACTGCGCGACAGGTACTAGTTTGTATGCCTTTCGTTCTTCCTTATCTCCTATGATTTTCGTCTCTGCCTTCTTTTCATTCTGTATTTTTTTCCCTTTCTTTTTTGTGTTTGTTCGTTTTAGGTCTTCATTGCTGAGTTTTCTTTAGGCTTTCCTTTTAGCAATTCCATTTTCGGTAGGACACGTCGTTTTTAAGAATCATATTTACATTTAGATACGTATTTTTTGTCCGTATATTTGTTGCACTCACCACAAAGAAAATTAAAAGTTACATGGAAATGCCTGGTTGTTTTATGACAGTATAAGGGGCATTTAACAGTACTTCTTCCCCCTTTTTTTTCCTTTCTTTCTTTTATTTTTTTTTTGAGATGGAGTCGTCGTACTGTCTCTTGCTTGTCATATGTCAGAGGGGCGAGGGAAGCTTAAGCTTGTCAAGGCTAACACAATAAGAATAATTGCAGAAAGGTAAATCTTTCTGAAGAAATAGAACTGAAGATCTGTGATATTGACGATGCTGAAAAATTTAGAATTAAATTACAGATAAAAATATTTTCCCTTTCTTCTTTCGAGGAAGTCCCGACAAGAATTAAGTAGGGAAGGTGGAACTGCGCCTCGACGAGATGGAGGGGATTTGGTAGTTATGAGAGGGACTGGTTTCACGAAAAGCCTTGAGTTCATGGTGGCAAAAAGAAATGGAAAAGCCCAACACGCTTCATATTGGGATTGAATCGTTTTGTGTTGAGAATGTTCTAGTTTTGTCTTGAGTGGGAAGTTGCTCTTTATGGTATACCATTATGTTTTGAATGCTCTAATTTTCTTGTTTTTTGGAATATGTTTTTTATGAAAATTTTGATTGAGTACTCCATTTTGTGGCTTGAATCGGTTAAATACTTTGTAGTTATTGAATTAATTAGTTTGTTGGGACTTGATTTCTTAGCTGATATCAGTGATTTTCTGAGTTATGTGTGTGGGTGACAGAAGATTGTAGGACAGACCAAATGGATGAATCACAGAAAGAGGGCTTATGTGCCGAGATGGGTTTATAAACGCTTTTTACTTTACATGTAGTTTCAAATGCAAACTTTAATAAGATGAAACTCTGTGTCATTTAGGGTATTGGTTATGTTAGTTGATGATGAACTATAAGTCATCGAGATCTTGGGAAGACAATAGGATTAATTCATCGAGGAGACCTTGTCTTAGTTATATCTTCTTCAGACTTGTTACTCTATACCAATATATAGCATCGATCGTTTGGCACTAATACCTGTTCATAGTATAGCGAATTGTATTCTGGATGACTCTAAGATTCGGTATAGGGGTTGTAGTCACGTTGCGATAACGCCCACATGTGTTATGACTGGCGCTATTATACATTTTCCTGTCGTTTGCTTTTAGAGGTCATTTTGGTGTAAAAATGTATTAAAAGCATTAATTATAAAATAAAACTTATGTTCGCGCCCAAGTGGCTAGAGAGAAAGTGTTGGATTTATTTTCTAAAATTGTGGCTTATATGTAAGAATTAGAAATTGGTCATCATGGGTAGGATCACATCTGTTGATAGCAGTTGAGTCAACGGGATCCAATTGTACAGCTCAAAGTTTCAAAAATGTGCAGGTTCTTGATTGCTGAAATAATATTTGTACGGCATATTGGACGAGTTGACTCAAGTTGTTCACTTAATTTAATAATGAATATCAGATCTTTTAGGTGGAGAGCACATCTCATATCATATATATTTCAAATTGTGTGTTCTTTTCGTCTAAAGGAATGAAAATACTAGGAATTGTCATGACGCTCTATTACAGGTTATAAAGGTCATGGTACTTCAGCAAGAGCTTGAATAGATTCAGTTTTTGAGAAAGCGTTCTTCTCGTAATGCTATCTCTTCCGGATAAAATTGATTTCCTCAATTTCTCTGGAAGGCCTGGCAAAACCTAATTCATGCCATAAAAAGTGTCGATTCGACAAGCAGATGTACTGGTATACGCAACCTTTTCCTGTGATTTTCCAATCTATTTTGTTTGTCTCTGACACGGTTTAGTGGGTTTGCATGATCCGAAACAACAGGTTTACTTGTGGAAAACAATATTGAAGTCACCTTAATTAAATTCTCTGGAAGGCTGCAAACCTAATTCTGCACATCAAGTTCGACGAACAACGATGTCAGGTACGCAACCTTTTCTTATTCAATCTATTTTGTTGAATTTAGTGGTTTGCATGATCTAGGTTATTGTGGAATCATTGAGCTTAATTATTAACAAGTCTCTTCTCTTTCGCTCATCCTTCAAATAAAAAATACACAAGTAATTAGAAGATCATACAATGTAAGTATTATATAAAACCTTAAACAAAAATTTAAAGAGGAAAGCGATTGAAGTTATAGGAAAAGAAAACAGAAGTCTTGGAATAGTAGTATGAGAGCATACCTCGTGGGAAACTATATCGTTCACCAAACGACCAATTATATTGCTAGCATTAACAATTTTTGGGTTAACTTTTAGCCACTCATATTCCTTGATGCCTGCAAACTTTACCATCCCAACGAAACAAACTGCCGCAACGACTCCATAGCTGCTTGAGACTACACCATTGGACAAATACTCACCAAATGTTGGCACATAGCCATCATTGAACCATTGTGCCTCCATCCGGTAGGCTCTCAACAATTCTTTAAACTAATTAAAATAGTTAAAAATATAAATATCAGAAAAATACTAGTATTAGAATTTCAATGATTAAATCAAAGCCTAAACAAATCTTACTTCCTCCTTTATATAGTAGGCACAATAAGACCTTCCTTCTTTGCTCAAAATATTACTTGTTTCCTCAAAAAGATCCAAAAATGCCTTGTACAAATTTTTCATGTACTCTGGCAGTTCATTAATTGCACCAATGTTGCACCTGAATATTACAACAACAACACTAAACCTTAGTCACAAACTAATTGGGTCAGCTATACCAATCTTTTGTTTCCAATATCCTTTTAATCAATATCATTGCAAAGCAAAGTTTACTCGAGAAAAATAATTTCCAAAATCCTATTGCAAGGACAATTTTAAAATCATTTGATATATTAGTAAATATAACAAAGCATAAAATAGACAACAATCACTAAACTACATGAATCTTTAAAAGAAATAGAAAATTAAAAAAAAAATCCGCGAATAGGAATCCCAAGTATAACACTTAATTTACTCTACTTGTTTTCATACAAAATCGCATGGAAGACAACAACTAAGGGATAGCAAACCTCTCAAATACATCGGTAAAGGCATTGATTTCTTCCATTGTAGCATATGCATCATATGTGTCATCTGATAATGACACCATTGTCAGATATTTGGTTACCATTAACCTTAAAAGAGCATAATGAGGCTCGGATTGTATTGAACATGCCCAGAAATAGAGCTCTACGATTCTGTCTCTTGCGTAGGGAAGCTTCCCTGCAAGATTGGAATCTTTCCACCACCTGAAAATATTGTGTTAGTACCATTAGTATCATCGCATTCTTTAAGAATATGCAGATGGATAGTTTTAAGTTCGTATAGTCAAATTAATTGTTGTAAAAATAAACTCTACCTTACTAGTTCACCAAGCTCTTGTCTGTGTAGTAATTGAACTCGATTGAAATCTAATTTTGCAAACTCAAGTAGGGTTTCATTTCGAGACTCATCTTCTTCGTAAACAGAAATGTATTTCCTGGCCTCAACTCTTGGTACTCCTTTGTGAAAGGACAAGACGAGAGCATTTCTTATATGTTGTGCAAGATGACGAGGAATTGATTGCATAGCTAGTGATGACTCCAAGATTGGCTTTGTAAAAGCAAGAGCTTCATCTAGAATATCTTCTCCATGCACACTTACAAAACTTGCTTCATATAAGCTGAGAATGCCCTTGACATCGTTACTGATAGCTTTCTGGAAATTTCCATCCTTGTCCTTGAATTTGTTGAACACATCTAGTTCATAATTAAATTAATAATATGTTAATACTGTTTTGAAATAGACTAAATTTATTACATTGTGTTGACACGATCTAGTTTCATTAATATAAATCTAATAATATGTTAAAATACTGTCTTTGAAATAGACTAAACTTATAATTTTAGCATAATGAATTAAGTATCAAAGGCTTATGACATACGGGGGTAGGCCATGGTTGCACCGGAACTCGAGTTGCCAGTTTTCAAAAATGAATGATTGGTTACTGGGGTTCTACACGATAGGATGTGGGAATCAAATCGACTCGGAAGTTGATTGTGTCCGAATTAGAACCGGCCGATGTATACGAATTGCTAGTTCGTGGTTTCGGTAGTTTAATGGTTTCCTCAAAGATCAACAGCTTACTTGCACTGGTTTCTCGTGTTCGCATAAGTTTTAAAATCAAAGAATTAGAAAAATTTTTTTATTCAAAATTTAAAATTAATGTTTTCAAAAATAACTTTAAGAAAAAATAATAAAAGGGGTTCGCACACTCTCACTCTCTTTTTCAAGAAAAAAGGGCTTGAATTCCTCCTACTTAGGCATCTCACGCACTCACATAATATATACTAGACTTGAAAAATTAGAGTAGAAAAATTAGGGAATATAGATTAGGGATTGGAGATATTAGTCTGAGCATAATTTTGGGACTATTTCAAGGAAGAACAGATTAGAGTTTGGAGAATTATTTGATAATAACTTCGTGGACAATGAATTTAAATTGGAGAGCTTAAAAGTAAAATAATTTAAGGTATCGAGGATGAATGATTTTAATGAAGTTTTTTATACCATAAAACCAAAAAGTCTAAACTTGCATAAACTTCCTTACCCACACCGCTACGTTGTTATGATCGTTTAATAATTGGTAAGAAAAGATTAGTGATAGAACACCGTTCTAGCGGTTGTAAATCAAAATTCAAATTTTTGTTAGGAATCACTGAGCGGTTTTGAATCGTCATGACGCACACACGTATTCTACACCGATTTGTGCAAACTGGTCGATTAATGTGCCGGTTCTTGGAACCGTTGGTTCATGGTTTCAAGAAAATTTAGACATTAGAATTGAACCGCAACCCCCAGGTTCGGTTCTGGTTTTGTCGCAGTATTCAATTCGCAACGGGGTTTGAGACCGACAGGGCTGGCCAGTATCAAAAACTGACCAGAGTTTTTGGCACCCCTACTTCTTAGCTAGCGTAATAACTAAAATTTCTAACATAATATAGACACTTAACCGCAGGACATCTTATTATCCATGTTGGTCTTAAAAAAAACTCGAAAGAGAAGTGCTATATTTATAAGAGATCACAGTATTCTTTAGGCTTGTTCGCGAAAGTGTACGAAATCGAGACTACAAGTAATATACTGATGCAGTAAGAAGTAATCCGGTATCACACAGGATTGTATACGCAAGGTACGCAAAATTATGTTCATCTTGTTAGTTATTTGAAACGATAAATGGAATGAAATTGCGTTGTACTAGAAATTGAATTCAAACAAGTAAAGAATAGAGTTAAGCAAGCAATTATTTATTAAAGAATCAAGGAAGTTAAGTCTGCAGGGGTTTTGCATTTCGACCCTAACTCTATCCAATTTATTTAAGTTGAGGTGTGTGCCATTGATCAGATTTTAAATTATTCAAGTAGGGGACACAAGTGCCCAAAAATCACTAACAAGCTCCTCCCGATGGTATTGGTTAGCTATTTTAACGGCCGGTCTAATTCCTATCCTTGCACATAGCCGCAATGAAACATGATTAATTGAGAAATCATTAAGTTTTATGGTTATTGTCCTGTGAATTCATAACCTAAGGTCTTTAACTTATGAAACCCGCCCATGAGTTCAAACCGTGATAGCTTCCGCATCAAGTTATTATATCTCATGTGTTTTATTAAACCTTTTGGCATATCCCAAAGATGCCTTCTTCCGATAGTGATAATTGAAATATTCTAGGGAGAAAAAATTTCCCTGCCTAGAAGCATTAAGTTATTACATAGAATTCAATGAACTTGACATTAGAGGAAAAAATAAATCCTAATTGCATAGATATTGGGAAAAGAAAGGATTAAAGCTACCATCAACTCCCCTAAGTATACCAGAGTTTAGTACACAATAGTACTTAATAAAACTCAACCAATACTTGAGAAGATATTGCCATAATCAATAACGCCCATAGATGAAAGACAATAAACAACGATTAAGAGTTAGGAAGTAAGCAAATGAGAGATAAATTGGCTTGGATGGCTTGCCTTGATCTTTGCACAACTTCTTGGAATACTTAACTTTAAAAGAAAATAAAAATCTATGTACAAAGAACACTCAGAGAATGGAGAAAGATGGAGAGTGGAGTGTAAATGTGAAATGTGATCGGAATGGGGATAGACGTGGGTGGGATGAACTCTACTCTCTTATTTTCAAGAAACTTCTTTGAGATAGGATTTCCCACATGGTATTACATGATCAGAAGTACTTCTTTTGTTAGGCTTGTAAAGCTCTCTTTTAGGTCTCCATTTTCTTCAGATCATGACTTTACCCATGTGCATAGATTGGGACCTTGGTTGGCATGTGAGGACAAGTTGTCGCAAGATTAGCTCGCATAAATTGGTGGAAGGTTGGTTTGGCAACTTATTGAACTTAAGTTTAGGATTCCTTGCATGGCACCGAGGTCAGTGCACTGTAGCACGGTCTCGGGGCGGTGAACTCCTCTGGAAGTCTTAATGCAATAACAGAACGGCGCGTGCTGATTAAGCAGGGCACTGTAGCACGGGCGTGCTGTTGCACGGTCACTGTAGGCACGGGTACTCCGTAGCACGGGTACTGGTAGCTGTTGCCAGCGGGCGTGCTGATTAGCCGGT